AAATCTGGGAGAGGGGGGCTAAGTTTAATTGAAAATCTACCAAAAACTATTGGTTGTGAATTGCAGAGAAGTTTTATATATATATATATATATATATATATAAGAAACTGAGCACAAGCATAAAGAAAAGATTAAACTCGTAGCATCAGACTGTGACTAACCTAAGACAAGAGTCAAATAACAAAGGATGTTCTTTTCACTTTTACTTGAGTGAAGTTCCAAGGTGAAGATTTGGAGAAGTGGTAGGTGAGGATTCCTAAAATATGCATGAATGAGTCAAAACAACTCTCCTGGAAGGTTTTTTAATGAGGCAATTACATTATACCTTAATATAAAGCTCTAAAAGTTGATTACGCATAATACCCTCACACCCATATTTAAAGGATTAAATCTTCTTTTAGTACAAAAAAAGAAGCTAAAAACTTGTCAAAGGACAAATACATTTTCACCGTACTGCGTTAGGTTTGCATTTACTGTAAGAAGCGTTTTGAAGTCTCAGTTGTCATGACCGGTGAGATCTTGCTCTTTAATCTAACCTGTTCTAAGTTGTGTCAGGTGGACTCCCTGATGAGACGCTGGTTCTCAATCGTCCACCACTTGTCTGAGGAGCTCCGTTTAAAAGCACACAAAGAAACCAGAGCTTGTTTCTGATATCTGAGTCGCATCCAGAGGCCTTTGGGTTCACAGCTGTTTGAGATAACGTCAGTGTGAATCTCAGCGTGACAGAATCACGCTGCCTTCCTTCCAGTGCATGCACAGCTGCGCACCGACAAAAACCAGCACCTTGTGCAGATCAGCTTTTTCCCCCCCCCCGCCCCTTCAGTTGGACTTCACGATTTAATCGGCGTGAAATACAAAACACAGAGTTAAAAAGGAGGATTTAACAGGCAGCGACAGGAAGCTGCCTGTTAAAGGGATGATGAAAGGGACGATAGCTGAAGTGAAGGTGAGATTGCGAAGTTGCTTTTGAAACACAGCTAAGATGGGGTGAAGCAAACAGGGCACACGGACAGGAAGAGGAGGGTTGGTCACTGTTACACCAGCAAACATCCTTACCTAAATGTGCTAACAGCAGGGAGAGGTGCAGTGGCTTTAAAGGTCAAGGAAATGCAGAGAATTAGGTAAGGATGGGGTGTGTTTAAAAAGAAAAAAAAAACCTTTGCTTGGATCAAAAGCTTGCCAACAAGCAGCAGTGCTCTCATTTGTCCCCTTGGGTGTTCCTGTCAAAGCTCAGGGAGGCAGAAATCATTCAGTTAATTGGCTCTCGGAGTTACATATATAAGACCAATCAGGGATACTTTAGGCTGAGAGAAGCACAGACTTCCCTTTGCTGCCTCAGCAAGCAAAGGCGTTTCTTCCCTTTAGCACACAACTTTCATCTTTTAGTACAAAATCTTACTTATATTAACACTGTTTTAACAATTCAGCGACACTTTAAACTACAGTAAAGGACAACTGTGAGAGAATGAGAGGCTCTTTGATCTCTGCATGACAGCAGTGAATTAAAGAGGGTAATCCCATTTCAAACTGCAAGAGCAGTCTCAAACTACGCAAAACACGAGGCCCCCTCATGGAGCGTGACCGGCGAGCCACACATGAATCATGTGACTTCTCCCCTCCTCCACCCGCTCACAAGACAGGATGTGAGCTCTCCCAAGTTTTCTGGACGTCCGATGGCTGTTATGTTCGTTTCTTTAACCTGCGACCCACTGCACACATTCTGAGTAGGCTGCATCAGCACGCTTTAACCTTTGTGTGGAATAACATTTTAAGTAGTGGACAGCTCACAAATTAGGCAGCGTGGCTGTATGAAAACTCTGCAGGAAGCGAAGGGCCTGTTCCTCTCGGATGTTTGGCAGGCTTTTAATCTGTTTCTGACAAACCGTGATTCACTTGTCGAGCTTTGAGAGCAAATCGGTTTTGACAAAAAGGGATGTTCTGCTTTCTATTGAGCTTTCAAGTAGAATATTTGCTGCAACAAACAGAAACAGTGATTATTTTTACTCTCAGAGCTCTCATGGTAAAAAGTATATACATATTTTTGAATTGTGATCTTCTTAAAGGAGCCAACCCCGCCCTATGTAAAAATCTTGTATTTTTTGTCTCTTATAATTTCTAAATATTGTTTGGATTTCCTTTTTTAATTTAATCTAAAAATTTCAATAAACATAAAGTAAAAAAAAAAATCTTATCCCCATAATTGAAAATGTAAACTTTTCTGGAAGCTGAATTCAATTACACTTGCTACATCTAATCAGAAATCAAAAAATCACATATATAGAACCAGTCAGACTACACTAAGTGGGTCAAAAGATTTTAAAAAGCAGTACGTCATTCCACCCACTTGAAAAAATCAACAAGTACGAAACAGACCCACCGAAATATCAATGTGGACAGGGTTACGAAGCCATTTCTGAGGCTTCTGGGATTCCAGTGACGCAGAATGAGATTCCTGATGCTCAAATGGAGAAAACATCGGAGAGTGAGAAACCTTCCCAGGAGAGGCCAGCCTGTCACATATTCCAAGAATGTATCATCAACTCATCCAAGAGGTCACAAAGGAACGTCGAACAACATTTAACACACTGCAGGCCCACTGTTTTAGGAGTCAACAGTGTTCAGGAGTCAACAGTGAGAAAGAAACTGGGAAGAGTCCGACATAAAATCTACTGGCCAAAATGACCACAAAGGACTTTTTCACATTTTCCCAAGTCTTTTGGGGAAATGTGTGGACGAATCAAAAGAAGATCTCTTTGGAAGATGTACCTCAGAAAGAAGATTCACCAAGTGTGACAAAAAAAATAAAAAAAGAGAAATAATCTGTACATAGGCAAAGACTTTCCTCCCTTATCTCTGAGTCTTCTTTAAAGACACACACATATGGCTATTATGCTGCATATGTCTTTGGAGATTTTTAGTTATATTGAGAGTATTATTGACTTGGATTTCTTCACGCCTAAAGCAATTTTTTTCTTATTCAGTGACCTTGTTCCGTCAGCAGAATACTTCCTGTTCAGACACAGCAACCTGTTTCACAGAAACCTTATCAGCAACGTGTCCTTTCTACATCAGTAAATGCATTCCTCACTTTTTAGCACTCATTAGACTCAACAGTGAGCACAAGCACACAAAAAGGGAGATTTATATGACGAGAGAGAGAGACCAGTGTATTTTGTAATTTTCTGTTGTTTTATACTTCATTTCTGGCAAGAACATTTGTGTATTATTTCAAAAATTTATCAGTTTTCAAGGGTTCATTTTTGACTTTTGTAAGAGATTTAAGGATTTTTCTGGCAACTATTAAATTACTTTCCCCCAACAATGGCTAATAATAAATCATTTAAGAAAAAAAAAAACAAACAAACAAACAAACAAAAAAAAAAAAAACAAGAAATGTTGGGGTAGGTTGATATTAGCAGCCGGACTCAATCTATTGTTATGTGCTTTTACGTTAATTCAACAAAAATCAAAAAGAAAAATAATATTATAACAGATATAGTTTTATATACACTCATCACACACACACACGCTTCAATTCCACCAGATTTTGGGTTTTCTATGCAGGTCAGTTTCTGCCAGACACAGCTTTTATTTGGACCTGATTAGTTTTGGGCACAGTCATCGCATGGCCTCTGTTGGCCGGGATAACGCTCATTGGTGTCCGCATCACTGGACCTATTCAGGAGGGTCGGCACAATCGCGTAGGACTGGCAGACATAACGCCTAACCCAAAGTGTGCGGCCAGCCCAGTCAGCAAATGCAATGCCCCCTCAACACACCCCTGTCTCCTGTTTTAATCGTAGTTAGGTGGAGGGGCTGAGACATGAGAAGAGAAAAGAAAAGAATCGGATAAGAGATAGAGGGGACCAGTTCGAGAGAGGAAAAGGAAAAAAAGACAGAGTGGGGAGGTTAGAAAAAGACATATTGCCCTGCCAGTCAACTCTTGCACAGTTTTGAAATTGACCCCAGTGACCTGTGTGCCAAATGACCGATTAGTCACTGCTTTTACATATTTGGGATTCCAGCATGCTTGTGAACATATATCCAACCAGTCTAATTAACTCTAAAAAACTAGAATAAAAATTGTTTTATAAATACAGGCAGACAAAAAGCAAACTTGGCTTAGTTCGTACTTTACTAAGCTTAAAGTACGAACAATAATTGGTTATAGATTGTAAATATGAGAAGACAGGAGACACATTGCACTTATAGTAGCTAAGAGTGCTATTTAGCTAAACAGTCCTCTGTTGCCCTCTTGTGGTGTAACCAGTTTAGCTCAGGGCATTTTCCCATCTTGCAGATAGTTCATAAAAGACGAGTGATATGAAACTCCATAAAAATGATGGGACTTGTTTTGTAAACTGATAAAAACAGAGTTGTTCTGAATTGTAAAACATGCAGGATTAGATAGATAGATAGATAGATAGATAGATAGATAGATAGATAGATAGATAGATAGATAGATAGATAGATAGATAGATAGATAGATAGATAGATAGATAGATAGATAGATAGATAGATAGATAGATAGATAGATAGATAGATAGATAGATAGATAGATAGATAGATAGATAGATAGATAGATAGATAGATAGATAGATAGATAGATAGATAGATAGATAGATACATAGATAGATACATAGATAGATACATAGATAGATACATAGATAGTATACAGTACTAAACATGGCTAATAAGAAAGAGAAATAGCTAATACCTTATTTAAGATAATAACTTAAGGTAAAAGGCTGATGCGCAAGCCAGAGCCCTAACCTGAGAAAAAAAGATAATGCAGGCAAATATTATTGCACCGCCTTTGGCGGTATTTTAGTCTTTAAAATACCAGAATTTGCACTGCTTTATATTTTTGTCTCTCTGATTACGTCATTGTAAATATTAAATCCGATGTTATGATCAGTTACTTAGTTTTTGAATAGACTTTTTGTCTTGTTTAGTCTAACTGAAAGTCGTTGAAGCGGTGCTGTAAAACTGCAGCGCTCTTCTCGAGCTCAGAGCCAACGGGTCTCGCCGAACCGTAAGACAAAGTTTACAGCAAGCGCCTTTAACTGGCTCATACCATTAACGGTTAGAGAGAGGGGTGAAGTCCCGTTTGTGGAAACTTTATCGTGTCTTTGGTTCTTTTATGCAGTGGTAAAACTGCCATTAGTCTAACCTTTTAGGTTGTTATTACGCTGTTCAGTGATATAACACCGAAAGAGCGGTTGTAAAAGGAATCTACAAGAGTTACCACCACCGGTGCTTCCCGTCGTTACAAACAGAGGTAGGGACCGCTGGCTGAGGATGAGCGGCACCAACTGTCAGGTGCAAGACTTAGGAAAGGACTTTAATAAATTTATTGTGAAGTAACTTATACGTATTTGTGACAATGACGGACAGCGGCAGTCGCGACGGCTCTGAAACGGAAACAAAGCAGCTCCAGGCTAACGCCACGACGGAGTACTGCTCAAAGTTGCAGCGGTGGATGTGGGAGTATTACTGGGGCTATGCTAGCTGGCAGAGCTGGGCGGCTCTGTCAGCCTTCCCCTTGCCTCCGCCGAGCTCTGCCGCTCAGACACCGGCTGCTCATTCTTCCATCCCCGCCAGCGGACAGCAAGCGTTCGAGCCCGGGAACTGGTTCGGCTACCCGTACGCTTTCAGACCCCCGGGGTCCTCGGCTCCTTCTCACCCCGGTGGTCTGCAGGCGGAGCAGCGCTCAGCCTCTACCGATGTGCGGCCCCAGAACGGAAGTCCACCGCAGGCAGGTAGGTGGTGGCCTGTTCTGTTATCATTATTATTAAATATTATTTTACAGAAACATCCGTAAGCATGGTGTAATGTTCGTTGCCCCTTAAAGACTCAAGATAAGTCATGAGTGTCATGCGAAGCAGGCTTAAGAAGAGGTCCAGGTGGAAACAGGCTTATATAATTAGAGTTGTTCCAAAGACTCTTTGGACCTATTGTTTACCACACTGGTTGTTTTCTGCTGCTCTAAAGTAGCTACACAATAACCACATCATGAAATAATCCATGCAATTTAAGCTTTTGGCATCACAAACGTCACATTATTTTTTTTTTAATCGTATTTGCTCTAGAATCATGAAATGATACATAACAATGAGGTGAGTGGAACAGTATTTATGGTTTTTCATACTTGAAACTGAAAAGTGTGGCGTGCATTTATTTAGATCTTAGTAGGATCGCCTCTATTACATTTGCACATTTTTTGGGGGACCTGTCTCTTCATTATTTGCACATCTAGTTATTGAACTTTCCATTCAGTTACATTGTAAATGTCAGCTTTCGAGTCTTGTCATCTCGGACTTTCAGTAGCCTGTTTCAGCTCACAATTTATCGCCAACTCCTGCTCCCTCAAAAAGTAAGATGGAAACCGTGCTTGTCTGCTACGGAAATGACTTAAATATGCAACCTCCTGGATGGCTGTCACAATTTTAAAGCTCAACAAAATTAAGTTATAGTTTTTAGTAGCCCAGCTGAAACTCCCCATGTTGATGGATTATTTGTCCTGGTATGAGAAGTCATCCATTTCAAATGAGTTAAAGTGGAAGCAGTTGTGAAGTTTTATCATTTGAGGAAGTTAGCAGAAATAAAACCAGTTGTTTCTCCACTGGCTTCCCTCATGTTTTAGGACTTGTTTTAAAGTTGTTTAATTGATTTTTCCTCATGGCCTTGCCGCCTCCTATCTCCCTGGGCTGTTGCTTCGTAGCTCTCAGGTCAGCTGATCAGCTGCTCCTCTGTGTACAAAAAGTGAAAGTTAGCTTGGAGGGGACTGCATTTTTGCTGTCGTAACTCTTACAATGTGAAAATATCTACTTTTGTATTTGCCTTTGCTTTTGACACATTATGAGATGCTGATTTTAGCTAATGTTGTTTTTCTTATGACTGGTATGAGTTACAAAGTATTTTGTGTTTTGAGTAAAGCCATTGATTTGTAACATCAATAGGTTTTTTTTTTTATTATGAATTGGTACTGATAAATCAGACATTGTACAGAAGAATATTCCAACACTTTTTCTCCACATCTTATTGTACAGGACGAGAGTACGCCATCCCCTCCCCTCTTCAGAGGTTACTGGCGGAGACGGTGGATTTCTTCATCCTGTTCTGTGTGAAGGCCACCATCGTCTTATGGATCATGCATCTATTCGGAATGAAGTGAGGAAAATAAATCTGAAAACCTCAAATAAAACGCAGAATTTAAAGATTCCCAAAGTTTGCTCTTAGCGAATTATCTACCAACAAATTTCTAATGCGTCCGACATCAAGAACTACCCTCACCAACAAACTGTATTGTCTCCTTTCAGGGATATTGCCAAGTTTATCACCCACTTCATCATCGAGGAGATCGATGAGAACACGTCCATCGAGGACCTGCAGAAAATGATGGCGGTCGCTTTGGTTTACAGAGTGTTGGTCTGCGTTTATGAGGTGGGATACATTTCTTGTCACCTGCTCTTAAAAGTTTATCAAGATTCAGGTGAAGTAGACTTTATTTAATTCAAACAGAGTTTTCTGACTTGGGCTGTTGTAATTCTAACAAGATTTTAAATACCACACAGCATTACTTTGGGTTTAATTTGGAGTTAAATAAATTACTTTTTAGTTTTAGGCATTAGACAGAAGAATCAGCAATATTTGAAGATGTGTGTTACTGCTTTTGAACAGGTATCTGATGTACAGAGTGGTGGTTTTTCAAATATAATTTACACTAAACTCGTCTTTTTAATTCAACTCAAACTGAGTTTCCAAAACATACATTTATTTGAAGCAAAATGGGGGCAACACATTAGGCAACATGCCAGAGTTGCTGGTCTCACATTATAAAGTCATTTTTTTCACAAAACCCCACGAAAATTTGGATGTTATTTTCCCTTTCAGCTTTGAATCTTTTAAACAAAATGCTGTGCGGCCTTATTAAGCTGACCACTGTCTCAGCACCTGTCAGTGCACACTTTTTCCATATAATTAACAACAATGCACAGATTAACAATGAAGGTGATTTCTACTGCATTCGTGAGGAGTTGCTTTCCTTTCTGCATGAGCAGATTTCTCGCAACAAAACATCCTGTTCCACAGAGAACCGTGATGCAATGTTGCATTCAGAATTGCGGAAGATGAAGTCATGCATTTTGCGTCTCCAGTTGGACGTCTGTGTCAGAGGCTTTGTTTTCCCACATGGGGCTGACCTCTGGGACATTTAGGGACCTTGTTTCAAACTCCATCTGGCCTTTTTGAAAAAAAATTTTAAATGTTTTTGTTGTTGCATATAAATACACAAATAAAGAGAAATAGAATACCATAGCAGCAATTCAGTTCAAGAATTTATGTGCATATAAATGCATTCCAGTTTTTTTCTTTACATTTTTCTATTTATTGTGGCATTTTTTATTATATGAGCTGTAAAGTATTGCTTTGGGAGTTTTTTTTTAAATTATTTTTGTATTTCCGCTGTTCGTCCTTTGAGAGTAGCAGTAAAGATATGATATCTTTAAAAGTATGATTGAATTTAGCTTTTCTTGTGCTGCTTCACGATAAAATCGCTTTCCTAATTTGTGTGCTGGAACGGACATGTTTTCTTTTTCTCTTTTTTTAGGGAAGTATTTGTAATTTAGTATCAAGATCACTGATCTGTATCATTATGTTCCTTATCTACATTTATTTTTTTCGCTTTATTTTTGAGTGTTTACTTTTTTCCAGTTAAAAGTAAAAATAGTTTTTTACTATATGCGTTTACTTTTGCCTCTTCACCAAGTCGATGATGCTGTGTAAATGCTAATGAAATGTTAATGCTAATGTTAATGCTAAAGTGATATTAATGCTAATGATATTATTCATCAAAATTTGATCTGGTCAAAAAAAAAAAAAAAAAAAAAAAATCAGACGCCTAACTCAACAATGCAAGTGACAAGCAGACAACTAACTGACTTGATGCGTCTCCCCCAAAGTCTCAGCCGAGCCACAAAGGGATTAGTGATATGTCGATGCTATAATTTATGTAAAAGAAGCCCAAAGTAGATACGCTGTACAGTACACAGATTTTTTTGACCCTTGTCTTGTTGCTTAATCAGACGATCTGCATTTGGGGCGCCGGAGGTGCGACTCCAGGGAAGTTTCTGCTCGGTCTGCGGGTGGTGACATGCGACACGTCCACCATGGTACGACCCAACCGCATTTTTGTGGTTCCAGCATCTAATGTTTCTCTGTCGGCGTGAGTAATCAAAAAAAAAGTTTTTTTTTTACATCAATGTGGATATTCTCAATATTTGAAATTGAGCGGTTCAAGTAACTTTTTTTTTTTTAAACAAATTTCGCAGCTCCACTGTGCGAGCGTTGAACAAGAACTTCTCCATCGCTTTTCTCTTTCCTGTCTTCATCACGCTCCTCTTCTTCCAGCACAACAGGACAGTTTACGACATTGTGGCCGGGACCATAGTGGTCCAACGCAGAGGGGCCTAAAAGGTCGCCCTCGTCCCCAACCACCTGTCTCACAGACTCGGTCACTGCTGCATGTCAAAGAGTGATTGTTCTGTTTTTCATCAGGATCCACCTAATTTATTTCACATTAAAATTTTATTGCACTGAAAAGAATAATGGGTCATTACATCCCTATACGGACGTTGGGCTATACTTTAAAAGGACACAAATACAGATGTGGTAGCAGAATATTAAGTTAAATGAAATGAGAGGCGTGTGAAGATTTCCGTTTTCTTATCAAGAAGTAAACACTTAATTACTAGTGTTTAAAGTCAATGGAAAAAAAGGCTCTTTGCCTTTTTAAGGCAAAAATATATGCAAAGTCAACCGTTTTTGTTTTTGTTTTAAAATCTGTTTTCATATGATATAGATATGATGTTTTTGTAGCTGTTGTGGTATTAATGCCAAACAATTTACTTTTTGCCTAACCCTAAATATGCAAATTTCAGGTCAAATCAGAAGATGTATTGTTTGATCAAGCTATTTATTTCATGCTTTATGAATTGAAAAAAAAGGCAGCATTGAATACATTTGAAATTATACTGAAGCAAAATATAAATACATCAGCAGGACTGACATGGCACCAGGCCAGTCTAACTTTTTATGTCTCCAGATTTGTTAGCAAACTTGCAGTTTGCTTATGAGCCCAAAGTTGTTCATGCAGACCAAAATGCAAAATATCTGCACACAAAACTTTATATATTGTACGTACTTTTGGTTTCTTGATTCAAAAAAAGAAAATTGTCTTGCTCTGTGACTGGGCAGTTGTTTGGATGGCCTCTGAAGTATTAAGACTGGTTTGTAAATAAAGAAAGGGTTGCATAATCTGTCAGTATGTAGGTTTTTTTCTTTATCTTTTGAGTTAGGAGACGATGTATTTATGGTATCCTTTTCCTTTTAATCTAATTTACCATGTTGTTTCTCTAGTAAGTCTGCTCATATCTAAAATATCAGTTTGGATAGATTTTTCTTTTCCTATTCCTAAAGTCAGTGATTATTTTATTTATATATAGTGCAGTCATGTTGTTGCTAAAGACAAAGAGAAAATGTCCATTTATTGTGCCTATGGATGATTTGACCTGTTTTGATTCAGTGAAAGTTTCTATGTCATATTATGGTATAGTTTTTAAGTTACAAAAAAGTCATTTTGTGACTCAGGGCAACTTGTTAGCAATATTTGACTTAATATTAAATGTCATTTCTGTACATGAATAATATGAAAACATTCTGGTATTAAAGTACTATGCAGTAAATGGATTTAATCCATGCAAGAAGTACATTTGTGTTTGCATTGTCCCACCAATGGATGTCTTTAACTGAACTTACCCTACAGTCACACTAAAATGTAAGCAATGCAAGATTTCAGATTAAAATAATCCATATAAATTAACTATTTTTAAGAAAAATCTGGTCACATGTTTTAAGTGCTAGTGTTGAAATGATTTTGTTTCTCCTCCCACGTTTCGTCATTATTAACTGCCTGGCCAAAGACAAAAAGTTCAAACACTAATATTTTGTTGAGTTTCCTGATTGCGGCATGAAGCATTATTTTGATGATCTGTCCAGTTTTGCACTATTATTTAACCAAGATGTTGTATTATGAGAATCAGTCCGTTGAGTTCTCTCCATATTTTGTGCGTATGCCAATACTCTTACTCTCACCGTTAAACACAGCCCTAACTCTACTGTTTTTTTTTTTTTTGTGTGTGTAGTTTGATTTCATCAAACATTGAAATGATCACTGATCATTCGGGGAGTTTTCTCGATGACGATGGTCTCCTACTTTCTAATAATGCGTTGGACAGTTTTAACCCCACTTAAGTTGTGCGATCTTCTTAGTTTTCTCTGCTTGATGCCAGTGATGTGACTCTTAAACAAATAACATCTATTCCTATCCATGACCACAGGATGTGTCGTTAGGCATGGTTGTTTAAGAAATGAGAAGCTGCTCCGAAGCAGTTGGGGTCAATTAACTTGTTGCCTGCTGGAAAATAAGCGCCAGTGCTGTAATTATCCAATAGCCGACTCATAGCGGTTTGCTTAATGAAATTCAGATGGTGACTCGTTTTTTGGTCGTGTGTTTGATTTTTTTTCACCCAGCCCCTAATTCAATGTCTGGCTAATAAAGTCAATTAAGAGTGACTTTATACTGACCAAACCACGTAACAAGGAAAATAGTTGTTCATGGCATTGCATTTCATGTATATTTAGAGCTGCAAATTTGTTTTCTAAGTTCTTGGTGAGGAGTCAGTGACTGTTTTCAGACATAAAAACTGTCTTCTTCTCTCCCTGCTCTCGCACGTTTTTGGCCTCGCCAGAAGGGGGCAGCAGAGGTCAGAACAAGTCAGACTTCACGAACTACTTCTACAAAATAAAAGTTAAATCTCAGTTTGTGTATTCATATATTGGGCAGTGTTAGCATTGCCTCACTTGAGACTGAAAAATATAACCTTTTGGCCTTTCATTCAACTAAACCAACAACTTCTGCTGCATGTTTGCTGTGACTCCCAGTTGTGGGCTTTCCTTTTCAACAATGCTTTATTGATCCCAAAGGGAAATTAAATGCTATTACTCATAATTCTAGGTTCTTCAGAGTTTTTGTAGATTGCTGGCTATTGACAGAAAGGATCCAGGTCCTTTCCATCAGTAGAGGATCCCCTGTAGCAGTCAGTATTACAATGAATTTAGGAAAAGCCTCTGACTGAGGACACTTTTGTTTTTTATGTCAGTCTCATTAAGAGAATGCTCAAGATTTTCTTGATTTTATGTAAAATTCTTCTTTGCATCCTCATGTCTTAGAGGCTCCACAGTAATACCCTGAACAAAACCAGATTTCTTTAGCACTTTGCTTAGCCTTTGGCTAAGTCTTTGGCAAGAGATGACACAACAGACTCAGAGAAGATATGCAACATCTTCCTGCAAACATTGCAGGAGCTAAGCTTTCTCAAGAACTACAGCCCACTCTGTCATTCCTGTATAAAGGAGATCATAAATAATGTCTATTTTGGTGGCAATTGATCACATAAAATTTGATTGGGAAATGTGTTTATGGTTATAATGTCACAAAATGTAGTTTTGTACTTCTTCACTCATTTTCTAAGTTTAAATTTGGTTGCATTCCTTTGGGCAATGAAATGTTTTTTATTTATGAGTTGTTTTCAAATTTTGTTTAATTGTAACAATAAATTCAATGTCTGCAAGGAAGTGACATACTTCTTGCATCCTGGAACAATGACTGTTACAGTGAGAGGTGAAGCAACAAAACCTTTTCAGCAACTTTCTCATGTTAAGTGTAGCAAAGTGTATTTTAACAGTTTGCTGATAACGCTTTCTAGCTTCAGTCATTTTATTTGGGGAGACAATCTAAAATGTCACTAAGTAGTAAGACATATTTGTAACTCTGAGCTAAAGTGAAAAAACTTTATGTTTATGTTAGAAAGTTTTAGAGTTGGAGTTTTTTTGATTTAAGGAAGAGATGAATTAATGAATAACTTTTACCCCTGAACCCTCTTTTTTTTTTGAACAGATTTTCTTGTTCCAAAATACTGTGGAGTTGAATTTTTATGAGCTGCGTGTCAGATTAGCCTGGAGTGTATTTCACATTAAGGTCCCAGTCGGAAGATGTAAAGGCTTGTTGGGGTTTCCTCTGAATGGTTGCATTTAAACAGCGAGCATTAATCAAGGGAGCTGGTAATCATTAGCCTCTTGCTGCTTTTCTCACTCCAGCATGCACACTGCGAGACACGAAGGCTTTTAAAGGCTTTATGAACTCGTGTTTTTGAATTTCTAATATGCTTTGGTGCCCTCTTGCATATTGTTCTTTTGGATTTTTTCTTTTATTTTTCTTTAGAGTTGAAGCAATAATTTATGTGTTCTCTTGCACTGTTTGCAGGTATAAAACATGGGAATCTTATGTTTTATTATTTCTTGATGAACTCTATCAATTCTGAGTAATATTAGTTTCATTAGTTCTTAAAGAAATCTTAAAACTTCCTTTCAATGGCTTCAAGGCATGGGGGAAATTAGTTCTCTGCTGTATAATCCCAGTGTGTGGAGAAGCTCTCCAAACATTGTTGCATGATTTTTTTTAGAAGTTCATTGTGGCGTTTTTTTGTCCTTCGGTTGCAAGTTTTTGTGCTGAGAGTCATGAGTTGTTCTTCGTGCCAGAAAGCAGAGGGGCTCAGCGATTATTACGCCTCGAGTGGCTTTAATACAAATTTCACAGAGCAGACGGGGAAGGCAGAGAGAGAGAGAGAGAAAGCAACAGAAAGTGGGAGACACTTGGATTAAGAGAGAGACAAAAGCCCAAGAGGAAAAAAAAGGGATTGGAACTGGGAGTTCAAAACGAGGGGAGTTGAGGATGGGAAGAGAAGTGGAGGCAAAAACAGAAAGAATGGGAAGAAGTGAGCGTGAGAGGCTAAGGGACACCATGCTTGAAAATTCTCTCTGATCTTTGAGCCTTGGGACCGGAGGCGATGGAATACCCTGCAGAACTCTATTAAAATTCAACCAGCTTCACTTAAGCCTTCAGTTATTATAGAAGAGAGGCCCTTCACAGCTCAGCTTTCTGTGTTTGGTCTCTGATGCATGCACCGAGTTAACACTTGCGACGAAGTAAGGATGCCTTTTCTGCACAAAAAGGTGAATTAAAAAAAAAAAAAGACGAAAAAACTAGCAAGAAAGGCATAGAGTTTGTCGTACAGGTAGCCACCGTGGAATTTTGCTCATAATTTTGACTTCACAAATAAGCACTGATCCATAAGAATATATTTGCAAAAGCGGAGCGTGGCTCCGTTTTATCGTAATGTTGATGGCTGGGTGAACATTTGTTACAGTTGGGTAACAAGACACTGTGTTAAAGCAGAGCTCAGAGCAGCACCAACACCATAAAGCTAAGCATGCTCGTTAAGCTAATTCTTGCCTCTTGGCAAAACAGGGAAGCTGTAAGGGGATTTAAAGCAGCATCTTGACTTCTGAAGCAATGGTTCATAGAAGTAGAAATGTTTAACTTTGTATGAAAATAAAACTAGGTTGAATTAAACTTGTAAGTGTAACAAAACTGAGGTTTAGGGCAGACATCATCATACGTAGGAATAAACATGGGGGAGGATCCTAATTTGTTCCTTAACAGAAACTATATTTTTGCAATACTTTTTATTGAAAGAAAAGAAAAAGTTTATCTTTTCAGATTTTTCTTTTTTTTACATTTTGTTACATTTCCTGTGGTTTTAGCATTCAGATGTCTAAAAATGTTGAGAAAAGAAAAGAAACAGATGGGCTTTTGTACGATGTCCAATTGTTTCCTCAAAACTCAGGAACATGGGTTTTGCTTGTACTCCGAAATGAGGTCAGAGTTCAGGGTTCTGTATGTGACGTCGTCATTCTTCTGCGACTTCTCTTGTTTCTCGGGTTTCATGTGCTCACTATTCAAGCTTCTTTTATGGTTTCTTCCATACCTGTGTCCACGCAAGGTTGCCACACAGGTACCTCATCTATAAAGGGCAACACAGACTCACACACACGGGAGAGTAACCATGCAGACACACTCATGAGGTCAGGTTAGAGAGACCTATTAACCCAATGGGGAGTACCCAGAGAGTAACCCGGCTTGCACAAAACAAACACAGAACCTCCATCCAAAAGCCCAGATTGGGATTTGAACCCAGGACCTTCTGACTGCACGACAACAGAGCTACTCTGCCTCCTTTTAGTTTGATTCTCAACTTCAAACCTGTAAATAAATGCCACCGTCATAACCTGGAACACATTTGAAAAGGAAGAAATGAAAAGATTATGATCCATACTTGTTACGACGATGCACAATGTGTTATATGCTTTAACTATTTGTGGCCGCGGGTGAACATTGTCGTTTCCCATAACTACATCTTTGTATTACAATGCAAAGATGGACACACTGAAACCGCCACGAGATCAAAAAAGACGAGCAGCTCGATTTTGGCTCAGCAGGTCAGACGAGTTATTTCACAGAACTGTTTAGTAAATGTATTTGTTTTTTTTGTCACTGCATGACCGGTTTGATTTCTGACTTTGCTCAAAATATGTGAAACAATCAGCCAGCAGCTGTACAAGGAGACTGAGTCCACAGTAGTAGTCACTTGCGGACATTTTTAGTTACACAACCAACAAATCTAGTTGGGGGGGAAACTATCTTTGAGCATCTTCTGAGGTTATTTCTGTATTGCTCAGCTCCTCAGGGAAGCGTTTCACCTGTTTATCTGCAGGAAGCTTTTCTGTGTTCAAGATTGTACCTTGT